ATTACTGTCTAGAGTGCGTGGAATGGTGCGCTGTGATTGGTTGAGCGGATATATCGCATTCTGCAGAGAAGGGAGACTGGCATTTGTCGCTGTTTGGAAAAAAAGGGAGAAAACATGACAGAATAACTCGGCGGATATCGCATTTTGCGTAAAATTAAAAATTGACTTTTCAATACTGACCAGATACAATACTGATTTTGGCGGAAACTCATTTTTTTCAAAAATGGCGTTTATCGCCTTTTGGAACCAAACTCTTCATATGTATCTATTTTCCCCTTTTTTAAAACAGTAACAGCTTTCTTTGAAAGCGCCACCATTTTTCTCTGGTTCTGTGTGAGGTGCAGCGGTCACGAGGCACAAGCCGTAGCTCTCAGAAAACTCCCAGTTCACAAGTTGTAATTACGAGTTCTACGAGGACATGAACGCTTCGTACAAGTTGGTATCTCGTAATTACGGTAATTACGATATGGTGTGAACGCAAGAGGTCAGGAGGCACAAGCCGTAGCTCTCAGAAAACTCCCAGTTCACAAGTTGTAATTACGAGTTCTACGAGGACATGAACGCTTCGTACAAGTTGGTATCTCGTAATTACGGTAATTACGATATGGTGTGAACGCACCTTTAATCTTAGTCAATTCACTATAGAGAAAGTGAAAGTAAAAAATAAAATAAAAAATACTGACGGCGCTTTCTAACGCTGCATTACTCTGCGTACCCGTTCGCTACGCTTAAATATGGACTAGTATCTGTAAATATTAAGTCACAAAAAGACTATTTAAACATGAATCCTGCATGTTCTGCGTGTCTCTGTGTGAATGAATGGCGCAGATGCGTGGTTTTGTTTAATACACTCACACTGAAGCTCGCGGTGATTACAGCGTCTGCCGTCTCTCTTAGGGCACAATCTACTATGTTAATATGAAGGAATTTTCCGTATTGGTTTTGCACAGGTTTTTTACCTGCATTTTAAATTACGCATTGTATTTTGTGTTTTCGGGTTACAGGGTTACAATGGATAATAATTATTAAATTATTAATTATTAAATTAATTGAAAATAGCAGCTAACTTAATTCATGTGATGTGTGTACTGCTAGGCAGCTTTGGTTTCCTCATTTTGTGTGATTTAGATGGAAAATGTATGCCTTTTTATCGTTTGAGTCACTTATCAAAAGTTGCTAAAAGTTGCCAAATAAATTTTAAAAATAGCTAAATTTGTTGCTAGGTGCTTTTGGAAGAAAAAGTTGCTAGGGTAGT